TAGTAATAGCAGTAACTAGAGATATGAAAGCAAATGTAATGAAGACTTAAACTGAATTTATGACCTGGTACATCTGAAGTAACGAGACTGGACACGAGGTAAAACCATATTCAAACAGATATTATTTGTTTGTAATATCTAACAAATACACAATTCTATATTGGTGATAAACACACATGACGCTAGACAGCACTACTCTCTAAATAAAGGGAGCTCTTTCGCTTAGGAAGATCTTTTGAAATGTCTGTTCTGTATTGAGCGATCAAACTATTAAATACATATAAAATAGAAGCAACTCTTCCATAATGCATTTGTTACCCATGTCACTTGACTATCCCATAAGTTAAAATATGAGTGTTATAAATTTCAGGTGTTCGTACGCCTCTACACGATCTTGTTACTAGAATATATAGCACTAGTCTATAAATAGTTCTCCAGTGATATTTTCAATGGAAGAGTTTAGAAGTACAGAAGGAGATTTACCGCGTACAATATGTAACTACGATACAAGTAAGGTTGCTATATTCTATAGCCAGTTTACTTGCATTTTGATTACAATGAGTATACCAAGCGCGTGTAAATGGGAAACATTTTGGAAACTGTAATCTATACTGTTTGCCTTTCTAAGCGAATAGAAAAAGAAAATATGGAAAAATGTTTCGAAAAAATTGGATAAACTTTTCGGGAAATTATAAAAGCATTCCTTTACTTAAAAAACAAAGTAACTATAATGTTAAAATTGATATTCCTGATTTAATTATGACTCTGATACCTGATCTTATTGTATGCGACTTCTTTATGCAAAACTAACAAAATCGGCTTATCTTATAAACAAACAATCAATGGAAAATTTTAGTTCGATTATACCATTTACTTTTTTTCAGCTTAAGAAATGGTTATGTTTTTCTACGTCAAAGATGTAAAATAATGCTGTACGAAGTTTCATACCAAGTTGTTATTTTAAATTATATTTTTGTTAAAATGGTAGATTTAAATAATTTTTAGCGACGTCTAGCAGATCAAAAGGGGTGGTATCGGTATGTAAATATCACAAAATGAATAATGATTATAAAAATTGTGTTTTAGTACTTCGAGATTGAAAAACTCTGATTATTATGGCGTTATATTGGCCTGTTACAACATGGATGAAAGCTGCAGAAACATGTCGAATAGTCAAGGCTGAAAATAGTGATGGTTTTACTGTATGTATTCTGGTTTGTCTTACTAACTAAGTAACTTAGTATTCTTAGTTGTACTGTGGGAGTGGTTATGTAACGTAACGATGTACTAGTACTAGTACAATTACTAGTATTAGTGTTTAGTTTTATATTTTGAATTATGGTAATTTATATATATATATCATGGTACAATCTGCATTAACTTGATTAAGTAGGTTCTGGAAGTGGAACAGCAGCTTTGTTTAAACTTTACAGAGTTTAATTTTTAGCCTAACAGTAACACTGAACTGAATCATGAGCTGTATTGTACTACTATTATTATTAAGTATTATTAGTATTACTATATTAATATTAAATATTTATGTTAATTAGTAATATTAGTACTAAGTAATGAAAGGCATAACCTAGAAATCAAACTATAAATAATTTATAAGTCAGTCCATAAGTACAGTAAGAAGTGATTGATTATTAGTCAACCCTAATTTTTGTTTCTTTGAAAATCATGTATATTTTTTATTGTTGTTGCAAGTACGTGAATAGTGGGTGTAATGGCAGAAGCTCGCAAATTGTACTAAGTTGTAGGCTTGATGTTTTTTGTTGTAATTGGAATAACAATGCCTTTTGATTAGTTGTATATGATTAACAGAGTGAGAATTACTAAAAAATTACATTTTTAAAGATATCTTCATATAGAAAATCTGAAGATTTATATTAATAAGGTGAAATTTTGAAGTAAACTTTCAGAGTCAGAAAAGTTTCATATTACTTCTTGATTGTGTTAGGATGAAAGAGAATTGAGAGATTTTTTTTATCCTTTGTAAACACTGTCTACTGTATCTTCTGTTTTCAACTTTCATGCGTACTATTACTGACAGATGTAAATTTAAGTGACAATAGGTTTGATTTTTATAATAAACTTGTAAAAAAATTTGTTTATATATAGATATTTAACAATCCAGACTTGATCAGATTATTTCTTTTAATACACTTCATACACCAAAACATATTTGTAATATATCTTACCACAGTTTTAAACCTTTTAAATTAAGTCCCTGTAAGATGGAATGTAATTATCATAAAACATGGGCAAATAGTAAACACTGTGAAATATCAATGAAAATCTCAACATTTTATTTTGTGAACTTGCTGCGATAGTATGCCAGTACTAAACATTTGAAGCAGTACTGACAGTTAGAAATTTGATGTAGAGTTTTATAATAATAAATATACTACAACAGATACTGAAACTATGGAAAGTATATTCAGTAGGTAAATTATGAAGTATAGAATATTTTTCAAAATATTTTGAAGTTAGGTTTATTATAATCTTGACCAGTCATTTTTCCTTACTTTTATTAATCAGATCAAGTCCTTTTAGTTGTAGCTTTTTTTGCCATAAAGACATCTTATTTTTAAGATCATTATATGACTGCTAAGAGCATTTTTAAGAAATATTTTGAGTTATAACTCGAATGTTATATGATAGTGTTTATAGTGTAATAACAGAAAACAACCACATACATAATTATAAGATATATTTTTTGGCTAAAATTAACAATTGATGGTGATTTTATAAGGAGATTTAATCTCCAATCATCTAGAAAAGATTAAAACATCATATTTAAGTATTGATTGTATTATGATTAACAAGATGGTGCATTGTATGTTGTATTAAACAAATACTCAATGGTATTATATTTATCAGGCAAGCATTGCGAAACACGTGGCAAGACTTATTTTGTCAATTAATGTTTCTTTATAAAGTTGGAAGACAATATCTTTTGCATTTAGACATGTATGTAGCATGTACTGATAGACAACTTTTTGAATATTTTATGTTTTTGTTAAAGAATTTTTATTGTATAATTTTTCATGGCAGCTTTATGTCATTGTTATGTATCTGCCTTCATATTCCTGGACAATTAAACGACGCTACAGTGAGTTCCATGATCTTCAAGAAAAGGTAATATTTTTGCTATTGTATAGCATTGTGTATAACATGATAATTAGCTAATTGCATCTTATTCCCATGAGGGTATGCAGTTTTCAAATCATTAAACATTACAACGTATGTGATATACATATTAAAGTTAATTGCCTCCATCAAGTGGAATAGCCTTTATTTATATTTTTTTTGTCTTTTCTGTAAGATTTATTATGTTAGAACTTAAGTAAATCAGAATTTGTGTATTACTTATTGTAATCTTTTTTTTTAATAAAAAAAAATTATATATGATCAGTTTGAAGAATGTGAAATGTATATATAACCATAAAAGAAAAAAAGGGGGGGGGATAAATGACTGTGGATACTTATTGTCATTTGTGTACTGTTTCTTCATACAAGACTTAAATCCATATGTAAAATGTTGGATTTTATCCATTCATAGTACTAAATTTTATATATATATACATGCCCAGTTACTTAGTAGCCTTTTGTGACATAGTACCAGATGCTTTTTTGTTGTTGTTAGTTTGGTTATGGAAGACAGTTTAATGTCACTTATACCTAATGTTTCTCAGGTAGGGTCATTTTCAATATTCTTATCAGAAAAGTTAATTTTGGTGAAGAAAACGTTAATATTACATTCTCCAACTTCAGTTGAACATATCAAAAGTATGAAGGGACTTAAAGAATTAGTACTAGAGCTTAAAATGTACAAGAAGAATTCTAAAATATTTCATTAACATTTTAATTTCATGCATTGTTAGATATAATAATATAAAATAGGTAGACCTAAAATAAGGCTCCCACTGAAAAATAAAGTATTTCAGTGTTTGCCTTAATATATTACTCTTGAATTTGTCTATGGAATTGTCTTGTCGTAATTAAGACTAAGTCCACACTGAGGTGTTAATGAGTTGTTTTATGATGAGTTTGGAAACAGAATCAATTATTTTTAGGGAATCATAGTGATGTATTATGTTCTCTAGTTAGCATATTTACTTATATAAATCCTACATTTGCATCAAAAATATGTAGGTCAGGTCAAAAAGTTCAAGTAATCATACATGATTAACTGAACATTTAAAACAATTCATCTTTCATGTAACTAACATAAAAGGTTTCTTGAAATTTACTAAATGTAAATTTTCTTTTTCAGAGGATAGGCCGAGTTAACTCTTATCTTCTGAGGTTGAGTATCAATGTAGAAGATATGTGCAATTTATTTATATAGCGCACACACTTTTAGTTTTATAATTAATTAGCAACAGAAAGGTTTATCAAGTTCCAAGGCTTTAGACTAGTAGCTTCATACTTACGATATATCTTTCTTTACACACACACACACACACACACACACACACACACACACACACACACACACTCTCTCTCTCTCTCTCTCTCTCTCTCTCTCTCTCTCTCTCTCTCTCTCTCTCTCTACTACTACTTACTTACTTACGTTACGTTACTTTACGTTAACGTTTAACGTTTAACGTTTAACGTTTAACGTTTAAC